TTAATCCTTCTAAGTTTGAATTAATTTGTTTTAATAAATCTAAACGCTCTATTACTCTATCTTACCTGATTCTAAAACTCTTGATGTCTCTCATAAGTTTCGTAGTCTAAGCTTTATCTTTGATTCTACTATGTCTCTTTCTTCTCAGATTAATATTGTTGCTAGAAAGTTCTTACTTTCATCTACGTAAAATAAAAAAACTTTTGCCTTATCTTGACGATCCTACTCTTCTCCTTTTTGTTACTTCGTTAGTCTTATCTAGGATTGGTTATTGTAACTCGCTCTACTATGGCCTTACTGATTCTACACTCTATCATTTAAGCAAAGCTTTTAACTCTGCGGCTCGTCTAGTTGCTCGTGCCCCTTTCTTTTCTCACATATCTCCATATCTTGTTCTCTTGCACTGGCTACCTATAAAGTATAGAATAATTTTTAAAATTTGCATGTTTATATATAAGTCTCAATCTAAATTATTTCCTAAGTACTTATCAGATATATTAATTGAAGCTTCTTTTACTTTGATACTTTTCTCTCCCAACATTCAAAAAGTCGCCAAGTTGAAACGCTCAAGTCAGCCACAGCCACAACAGCAGTCGTTTTTTGGTGGCCAGAACACGGATAACCTAATCGCGACTGTGGCGACCTCCTTAGCGACACCTAACAAGTTTCTAACCATGCCCCCGCCGAGTAGCAATTGCGGTCCATCTGTTGATCGTTCCAATAGGAGACAGAGGCCAATCTCTACAAACGCTGTGGCTAATTTTAGCAACAACAACAACAACAATAATAATAATAATAACCTTACTCATAAGTGAGTTGTGATGATGGGGGTGGTATTTTAGTCTTCTATGTTATAACTATCGTTCCTTCTATTATCATAGCTTAGCTTTCGACATGATTTCTTATCGTCGTCACTATCTACGTCATCTGATCATCATCTACGTCATCTGATCATCATCTACGTCATCTGATCATCATCTACGTCATCTGATCATCATTACCATAACTTCATAATCGTCGTCGTCATCATGTGGTTTTAGGTTTAAGACGAGCATTTTCTGCAAGCCAACCAAATGCATTGTCTGTCTGGGCAGCATCTACTTTATTCAACAGTCCGCTAAATGCTCCGGTTAGTATTGATAATGATGATGATATTCATGATAATGATGATGATGAATGAGTGAATGAATGAATGTGTGAATGACTAAATATGTGAGCGGATGAATGAATGAATGTGTGAACGAATGATGATGATGTTTTGCCGTAAAATTAACATGTAATCATTATCATCATCACTACAATTATCATTATCATCATCAGCTTCGCTACAATTATCATTATCATCATCAGCTTCCTCATCGCCGTTACTATTTTTAGATTGTGGGGCCGTGTGCCACCCGAAATGCTTGCCCCACCTGCCGTACAACTGCGGCATCCAATCGGATTACAGCATTTACTCGAGTTCAAGGTCACCAAATAACCTAGCAATTATGACGTCACTGAGAGACGGTGGTGGCGATAATGATGCGAGACGTAATGGGCGAATTCTGTTGGAGGGGGTCCTGTTGATTAATGGGTTGGCTGTTGTTCTTTGTTTTTTGCTAGTATCATCATCATCACAACTACTATCACAACCACTTCCATCATCATCATCACCGGCAGTTGCATATGGTCCCAAGAACTTCGCAACCCTCAATGGAAACAATTCCAGGTCACGGTCACAACCACCAAATTGATTCTCCGCCCTACCTCCAACACATCAACCAATAGCAATCAGCATAAAGATGGCGCTATTGAATTTGACCTTTGCCCCAGCCAATCAGAATGCGAGGTCATAGTTGAGAGTTCAATAACCTGTCTTGATCCTAACAATAGTAGCAGCATTGATGGTGGTGGCAATAGTACTAATACCTTGTCGAGTAGAGCGTTGACTCCACTGACGATGTTGGAGACGAGGGAGTTGCTGTTGTGTGTTGTGGTTAAGTTTCAGAGAAGTATGAAGATGGAGAGTAATGCTGCCGACCTGAGGTTGGTTGGCTCGCTGGTTGGGCTTTTTTTTGAGATAATGAGTTATTAGTTTGTTCGTTCTTTCGTACATTCGTTTCATTCTCTCATTTCATTCATTCAGATTTTTTTAATCAGATGTAATTGTTTGTTTAATAGCTTATTCACACATTTGGATCATTTCACTCGTTCAATCGATTCATCACCATCACACCATCACCACATTTATTTGAATCATTCATTCATTCAATTATTCATTCATTCATCCAATCATTCATCCAATCATTCATTCATTTACCCATTCATTCATTCAATCATTCATTCATTCATTCATTCATTCATTCATTCATTCATCCAATCATTCATTCATTTACCCAATCATTCATTCATTCATTCATTCATCCAATCATTCATTCATTTACCCAATCATTCATTCATTCACCTCCACATTCATCCACTGCTACAGGATTCTCTACCTTCTACCGACAAACTTCCAAGAGAAACAGCAGTGGGTAGCGACTCTAGAAGCTGTGGTGAGCCACAACACCAACGACAGCCACAAGATCAAAGACGTCGCAGTACTAGGTAATGTTTTGGCCAGACTCGAGGAGAAAAAATTGCGAGACTCCAGCTACTCCGGCGCTATTTCTGATGAAGTTTTTGGAGGGAAGATGGAGATTTACTGTACCTACCCCTACAATGGAGAGGTTGGCTTAGGATTTGGATTTTTTTTTCTGCGTGTGTTTTTAAATTCTAGACGTTTTAATGTCATTACGTCATCACATGACATGGCATCACATGATTACATCAACGTCACTCCGCTTCAGATAATATTAGTCGGCTCGTCGTACGGCTTGCACGCCATGGTGTTGAGTCACAACAACAACAACAACAACAACAACAATAGTATTGGTAATACTGTTGAAAATCGTCCAATGCTTAAATTACTCGGGATTCCCGTGACTTTCGTTATGGAAGTTAAAGTAGAGCATGACCTCCTCATCATCATTGCCGGTCTGTCTCAGTTTTTAATAATTATTTTTATTATTTTGCGTAAATTGTTAAGTATATTTAATTATTAATCTTTATTATTATATTTTAATTAGGCCAAGAACGGCGTCTCTTATTGGTCAGGCTATCAGCCGTCCATTCCTTCCTCAGCCAATCGTTGGCGGGTACGACAGGAGGAGCTAACAGGCTTCAGCCAATAGCAGTTAAAGGATTCCCTGAAGCCACTGGATGCACAGTTCTGTCAGTGGATCGCTGGCGTGGTGGTAATAGTAGTAGTAGTAGTAGTGGTGATGGAAGTAGTAGTGGCTGTGGCGGTTTGACGCTCTGTGTGGCGACGTTTTCTAAAAATATTCTCGTTTTGAGGTGCCCTGGTTTGGGGGAGGAGTTTCAAATTGTGAAGGTCTGTGCGTGTGTGTGTGTGGGTGTGTCTGTTTAGGTGTTCCGTGTGTGTGTGTGGTTCATCAACTAAGAAGATGAATAAATGAATGAATGAATGAGTGAATGAATGAATGAATAAATAAACGAATAAATATGTGGATGAATTAATTTCTCAAAACTTCCCTCCAGGAGTTCAGCTTGCAGCAGCTGTGCAGCTGTATGCATCTGCACGACAATCAGCTGATCATAGGAGCTGGAAAGTTCTACAGAGCTTCTACCAATGACGATGATGACGATGACGAAGTTGTCGTGAGAGGTGAGGTGACGATGGTAGAGGTGCTTGTTATGATGATTAGCACCATTTTTAATCAACCAATCAAACATACTCATCATTCAAACATTTCGAGCCATTTATCCAATCATTTCAAATCTGTCTCTCTTTCCAATTAACCAATCACCGATCAGAATTCTTAAACCTTTCGGATCCTGCTCTGCTATTGGTCGATTCAACCGTCAGCAAATATGGCAGCCAGCCAATTGCAATCCTGGCTATAAATAGATCAGATCAACCTTTGGAATATCTTTTGTGTTTTTATGGTTAAAAAATGTTATAATTATGAATATGAGTGTGATGATGCTGATGATGATGATATAATAAAAATGATAAATGAAAGAATGTTACATTTATAAAAATATTTTTACGAAGCTTCCTTTCGTTGTTCATATCATTTTCTTTGCACGGTCGTCATCATCTTAACAATCATCATCATCACGATCAGAATTTGGGATTTTCGTGGATAAGTTTGGGATGAGATCTCGGGAATTCAATATGAACTGGATGGGATTGCCTCTTGCGTTTGGTTGGTTGGTTTGATTTTTTAAACTGAATTTTTGATTGGTCGGTCGGTTAGTTGATTGATTGATTGATTTTGATTGGTTGATTCTGTATTTTGATTGGTTGATTTTGACCCCGCCTCCGTCCAATCAGCTTACAGAAGACCCTTCCTCTATATGATCCACTACAACGCAGTACAATTGGTTGAGATTCTACCAAGATTTGAAACAAGCAGGTTATGATAATGAGTGTGATGATAATGATGATGAAAGAAATGATGATGATGAGAAGGAGGAGGACTACGTAGATGATGAAATGATGGTACTGACGATGAAAGTTACATAATGTTGTTATTTATGATGATAATGACGAAGAAGATGATGAGACCACAAATTGACGTCATCACCACGTCATCATTATTACAGACAAGCCCTGAAAGCAAGCCTTATGTTGCCTGGTGTCACTTATCTAGGGCCAGCTGTCATGTCCGGAGCTGTCTATTTAGGTCGGTTTAATTGATTGGTTGGCTGGTTGGTTAGCTGACGGGATAATTGATTAATTGGTTGATTGATTGATCATTTCGTTTTCCTAACTCATTCATTGGTTTTTCCAAATTCAGGGTCACATGACAGTGACGTCACAGAGATCGTTTGCATCAAGGGCAACAAAGTTTCAGAAGTCCAGCGCTAATGATGATGACGACGACGACGATGATGACGAAGACTTTTAACCTTCGTGGCATTGATAACTTTACTAACGCTAATGACGACGATTAAGATGACGACGTTAATAATAGTTTACTGTTACTTGTGAAAAAATATTTAGGCTGACATTAATTTTGATTTCGGACAAAAAAATAAAAGTGAAAATAATTTTTCTCTAAAACTGTTTTCATAAAATCGAATTAAAAATATATCAAACTCTTTAAAATTTTCTCACAAAATTCATACAAAATCAAATTCAATCAAAGCAACTTTTAAATAGTTAATTGTGATTTCATAATCATTTTAAAAAGAGTGAGTATAGCACATCTAAAATCAATCTATTAGAACAGTCCACTATCATTTTAAAGGGGGGTGCAACACAGGTAGAGTCCACTATCGTCTTAGGGGGTGTTCATCTTGATCCAGTCCAAATATTCACTGAACCTTGTATAGGCAGATGGATACGTAGGCAGGCAGTTGCCACCACTACTTGCTATGACCCAAGACGAGACACCAGCCACGACATCTTTCCCTGCGACTTTGCATGTTACAGGACCTCCGTTATCACCCTAATTATAATTATCATGATAATTATTATAGAAGTATATTATAATTTTTTTTTTATTAGTCTTTATTTTTGCAGCTCTGACATACGCAGAACCACTTACAATGTTACAGATATATTATGTTTTATATATATATTTTATTATGTTCTTCAAATTTCATAATTATTAATTGGGAATAAAAGCAATAGCAGTGGTGGAGCTACTGGAAAGATTGCAGGGAGAAGAGATCGCGGTCAACAACGAATGACAGTTGTCTAGTCCTGTTGAATATCACCACATTTCAACTACTACAAAGTACACTACTACAAACTACTACTACTTATAAGATCGGGTTTTGTTGAAGTCGATGGTTGCCAATGTCCTGATAGGATAAGGCACGACGAGGGAGAAGAAAGAAGATTTTGATTCAGAGATGTTTAACTTTTTTAATTTCTGTTACAAGCCTATCAAATTTACAAACTCCTACAGTCATTGCTAAAATATGAAAATAAATCCCATCTATACAATGCTATTCTAGTTGAAATAACTATCGTAATGTATAAACATTAATAACTGATGTAATACATAATAAATATTTCTACAACATAGAACTATTATAACAGGGTTGGGCAAACTTTTTGCTGTGAGGGCCGCATTAAAAACTATTTTACCTTTGAAGGGCCGCATATGTACTTAAATAGCAAATTTTTTCAACCCGGGGGAGAATTTTTTAAGGTTTATGGTTCTTTTTTTAGACATAATGTCTGGAGGATGACCTTTTTTGGCGAACAGGGCCTCGATGGCCGCATAAAATAGCATCGCGGGCCGTTTTTTGCCCACCCCTGTATTATAACATGTAAATATTATAATTATTACATTTTATAAAATAAATAAATGATTTTAACAAAAAAAAAACAAAAAAAATTACGTCGCAAGCTGATGTGTACATGGAGGGATCAAAGATGCACATCTGTCCATCGGTAATCTTGGCCATTGTGTCGACGCGGGTCTGACATTCGGCGTTTGATATCACACGGACAGTTCCTTTTCGGAGTGTATCCGGAAGAATCGTTGAATAACCTGGAAAATCATAATTCATAATTAAAATTATGATAATAATTATGAGATTGTGATTATGAAATTATGATAATAATTATGGAATTATGATAATAATTATGAAATTATGATAATAATTAGAAAATTACGATAATAATTATGAAATTATGATAACAATTATGAAATTACGATAACAATTATGATAATAATTGTCATAATGACAGTTTTTGAAAGTGTGGCGAAGCGTCTAACCGGCCCTGCCCCAGCCACTTATCACGCAAGACTCGTTGACGAATTTGTTCCTGTTGTCGGCTGGAAGGACGGCTGGCTTGATCCTGTCAGTGAATTTGATCTCAGAAGCCAGCGTGATGACTGCAATGTCGTTGCTGAACGCTGCCGAGCCGTCGTTGTATTTCTCGTGCTGTGTGGAATATGGTGGTGGGATGATGATGATGATACAGGGATTATACTGGATAACACGGAATGTCATGGGATAACACGGAATCATGCGGAATTATACTGAGGTTTAAGAGGGGCTATGTTTGTAATTTCACTGATTCAAATTATTATCGACCTTAATATTTTAACTAGTGTAACGGTCATTATTAAAATTATTATTTTGAAATAATAATATTTTGTACCCTTAAAAAAATAATATTTATTGCAAAATAAAACTCAACTGACCTTTTTGAACGATGCTATGTCGACGATTGTGGCCGAGCTCGTGTTACTCAACTGATGCATGCCGGCTGCTAGTCTATACGTGCTTCCGCTGTTTTGAAAGGAGAATGGCGTCATTCATAGTAGTTTAAAAATTATTTCTTGATTATAAATGATTGGTGGAAAAATCAAGTGATAACAAAATTACAAGATGAAGGACTGGAAGATGAATAGCTGGAAGATAAATAACTTAAATCTTGCTTAGTAGGACACTTACTAAATGACAAAAAATTAGAAAATTTGGTTTGCTACCTATAGATGCACTGGGCGGCTGTCAGGGCATACTTGGAGGAGAAGAGGACCGCCCCACATACGTGCTCCCATCTTCCGGCAAACCCAAAAAACTGCAAAGATAATTGCCAGGGAAATTCGCCAACTTTTGCGTCTTGTCCTCCGATGACAAATGGCTCGAAGTTGGAAGAGAGCTGAATTTGACTCGGTAGAGCTTGGACTGTTTGGTTTGTTTACATACGTTCGTTTGTATAAATGATGCCATTTTTAATTAAATAAATTGTTAAATCAATAAGATGATTAATCCTTTTTTAAAAATATTCAGTTAAAATATAAAATACAAAATTTTGTATTATTACTAACCAGAAGCCAAAGTAGCCAGCGCAAAAACCAGCAAGTTTTTCATGGCTGTATGTTGAAGTAATTAGGAAGCTATTTTAATGTTCCAACTTTTTATGAATCCGATCAGAATATGACTTATATTTATAGAGAAATTTAAACCTACCTAAAAACGCTCTGATATGATATGATATCTCTCTATACATCTGGATGATATCATTCTATTTCTGTCGCGGTTATCAATGATATCAGTTGGTTTGTCGTTTGTCGAGTGGTTGATATCTTTTTTAATCTTCAATAAACTTCAAGATTTTAAAATTTAGAAAACTTTATTTAAAAAATATCATGCAATTTTTATCAAAGTTTTGATAAAAAGCATCTTGTCTTAGAAAGCACTATTGATAAATTGTGATCAGTTTCTGACATCGTTTTTTTTAACGTAACCAGAACTTATGTAATTTAAAAAAGTTCTAACCAAATCTTCCAAGTTTTTACCTCTTTTATCATGTCTGACTCTTAAAACTTATCAACCTTATCCTAATTTTCCAACATATCAGAATTTAATCCAATATCTATTTGAGGAATTCTAGACAGCGTAAGCACGCGAAAAAATAAAAATATTTGATTGACCGAGACTTTTAGTAGATAGATCATAATTTTGTTCATCTTTTTGGTTTTTCATCCGAAATATGTTACCAAGTTTGATTTTGAAACAAAATAAACACGCCCAAACTTTTTTTATAAATTTTTTTATCAAAAAATACAAATTTCAAGACATTAAACCAGCAAATATAAAAGTTACATATTCATTCTTGCGAATCTAATCTCTTTAGAGCCACGTTAGAACCTAAATAAACGACATTTAGGTTCGAATAGCTCATTATCATACTATGAATTATAGCATGTTGCAATCATTTTGATTGTGGAATTGTTCATTTTCGTTCAGGGAGTGTTCTGTTTGATCCAATCTAAATATTCACTGAGCCTTACGTAAAGGGAGGGTTTCTTTGGCGTGCATTCTTTAATATACCCTAGAAAGAACTCCGAAGCCAATCCAACAACGATGTCTTTCCCGCCAATTTTGCAAGTCATTGGACCGCCTTCGTCGTACTTATTATGAAAAAATATAGTTGCTAATTTATATTCATAATTCAAAAAGTCACCATGTAGGCGTTGTTGTGTTAGACCAAAATTAAGCTTAGACAAAGATCTTAATTGCTCTGCTAATAACTTTGGGCTTTGAATTATTTATATACAATAAAATAAGTAATTTATACAAAATTATAATGAATAAATAAATAATACTAAAACGTTACGTGGCAAATGGAGGTATATTCTTTTGGATCTAGAGCGCAAATTGTATTAAGGCCAGCAATTGGCCAGTCACCAATTCTTATCTGACATTCAGAGTTTGTAATGACTGACATCAATCCTTTTCGGAGTGTGTCTGGTCTGCCAGTTAAACCTGAAAATTACAACAATTTTAAATAATAATAAAAATAATAATATAATAAAGTTATTATTATTATCTTCATTGATTTTTAGAGCCGTGTGAAATCGCGTGAATCGACGCATCACGTATACTTCTCGAACTCGGTCAGAGTAGCAGTAGGACTAAGCGCCTCAACCATTACACCATCTCGTCACTCAGTAAAAATAATAATAAAAAATATAAAGCAAACATTCAATTTGGGACTTCGGGAAAAAAAGCCTTATTAATTTTTTAAAGAAAATGTTCCACTCGAATTCTCACTTGATTTTCCCCAGCCTGATATGAAGCAGGACTCGTTGTCGAACCTGTTGTTGTTATCGGAAGGGAGGACAGCCGGTTTGATCCACTCAGTGTATCCGATTTCAGAGGCGAACGTGATGATGGCAATGTTGTTGTGGTTGTGCTACGGTTAATTGTGGTGGTGCTCAGTTGGGATAATATGGGATCAAAAAATGGGATAACACGGAACGACAAATTAGAATAACAGTAGGACAAGTTGGAACAATGAAATATGCTGAAACCAAAAAGGTTATTGTTATTTGCGTTGTTTTGAACTTAAGGACCGACCTTTTCGAATGATCTGATGTCGACAATTGTTGCCAAATTTGGCTCGCTTAATTTGTGCAGACCAGCTACTATTCTGTACGTGTTCCCACTGAAATTATTTTTTGGCCATTTAAAAACTAGTTGTATAAATAAATATTAATGATAATAAATAAATATTAATGATAACAAATAAATAAATATTAAACAACAGCAGTTTAGTTATCAAATATTTTCCTCGCTGACCTGTAAAGACAATGAGCGTAGGTTAGTGCGTACTTCGAGGAATAAAGTATCGCCCCACATGTGTGAGTCCAAACCTCGGAAAACGCTTTTTCAGGGTACCCCATGATCTGTAAAGATAGCTGCCAAGGAAATTCGCCTGGTTTCGCATATTCGCCTCCAACGATGAATTCTTCTATGACACTGGATGGTTGAACATTGCTTGGCAGGGCACGCACTGTTGAATTTGGGTGAATTATTGAATTTGGGTGAATTATTGTGTTTGGGTGAATTATTGTGTTTGGGTGAATTATTGTGTTTGGGTGAATTATTATATTCGAGTGAACTATTATTAAAGTGGTATAATAGATTTTTTAGGCAGTTTTTAGACGAAATTAGAATTACGATTAGGTTGAATATATTTCGATAAAATATAGTTGCTAAAATTGCTGAAAAGTTTACATGTTAAAATATATTTCAATAACACATAGCAGTTAAAACTAAATTCTCATTCATTCCTACCAACCCGAAAGTAGCACGGCTAGCTCTAAGAGGAATAAACTTTTCATAACTGTTTGTAGATTTTATGAAGTAGATGCAACTTTAGTATATCTAATTCGACTAAATTCCAGCAAATTCAAACGCATATTTATAGAGAAATTAAGGACAAAATTACCACTATCATAAATTCTTTTTGAAGTGTTAATACGCCGATAAGATATGCGCTGGTCATACACAGATCCGAGTTATCGCATATATCATGTGATATCATATATCATGTGATATCATATATTTCGTTATTATATAGCTTATTATTGTTCGTCAAGTAGAAACGTTTTTTCCAAACCTTTGGTTATAATTTTAAAATAAATTTTGGAGTGATTTTTTAATAATAAGTTATCTTAAGCCATCCTACTCAATGGACGGTAAACAAATTTTTAATTTTTTTTGTGTTTCTAGGTTATATTTTCTGGGTTAACTTGAGAGAAAATTAGAAATAGAGCAACAGAAAGAGCTAAAAAAAACAGAAGAGAGAGAGAGAGTAAGAGAGAGAAAGAGAGGCGAACGTCTAGAATACAAGTATCAATATCTCTAGGGTAGTAATTGCCTTTGCTTATGTTAGCTTCAAACAAGATTCTGGACTTGCACGATTTAAAAATGATTCTTAAGCTATTTATATTTGCTTCATCGTAATTTTCCATTTAATAAAAGTATAATGTGTTATTTGAGGGGAAAATAAAAATATTTTTCTTTTAATTTTCCTTTTAAATATTATTTTTTCTTAAGTTCAGTTTGAGTTTGAATGCTTTTTATTAAAATTTAATGTGCAATAATTCACTCTCAGCATTTAAATTCAACAATAAGAGAATTTAATGTTTCATGTAGGATTTCATGATCTATATTAGCAAATTACGTTTAATCAAAATAAATCAGTCAATATTATAACAGGACGGAATGGTTCATTGTAGACGAGCGTTTTAGTTTATCAGAATAGTGGAATAGTCCACAATCGTTCTAAGGTGTGTTCATCTTGATCCAATCTAAATATTCACTGAATCTTGTGTAGGCAGATGGATAAATTGGGCTACAAACACCAGCACTCGATATAACCCACGAAGCAGCTCCAACAACTGTATCTACACCGGCCACTTTGCACAATACCGGACCGCCACTGTCTCCCTAGTTATTCAACGGTAATTTTATTTATGACTTTTACAAATTATTAATAATTCTAATATTTATTAAAAAGATAGTTTTTTTTACATTAAAATGACTTTTTTGAACGTTTCTGTAAAACGTTACGTGGCAAATGGAGGTATATTCTTTTGGATCTAGATTTTGCATTAAATTGTGATAATGTCAAATGCCGAAGACAACTTTAAGCTAAGTAACATTGATATTTTAGCTAAAAAACAATTTAAAAATATATTAAAAAAATATTACGTTGCAAGCAGAGGTGTCCAAACCAACAGGATCAAAAATGCAGAGGTGGCCGTTAACAATTTTGCCCATAGACCCAACTCTTCTTTGACACTCTGCATTTGAAATGACACGGATCATTCCTTTCTGAAGAGTGTCCGGCAGAACTCCAGAGGCACCTAACAATTAGAATAAGAATTAAAAAAATACAAAAAAATATTATTTAATATGAATAACAGGTCGTAAATAATAAATTTATTATTTTAAGTAACTTTCATTAAATTTCTAACGAATTGAAAAAACACATCAAACTCTTTAGCTAAATTAGCTAAATTTAGTAAATTAAGCTCTGACCAGTTCTGCCCCAACCACTGATGATGCAAGATTCGTTGACGAATTTGTTCTTGTTATCAGCTGGCATGACAGCTGGTTTGATCTTGTCAGTAAACTTGATATCGGCCGCAAATGTAAGGACGGCTATGTCGTTGCTGTATGTCCCGGTACCGTCCAAGTATTTTTCGTGCTGTATATTGGCGGATGGGATGACAAGAGGAGATGCCAAGATGGGATGACAATTTGGGATGGCAAGATGGGATAATGTGGGATAGCGATTGAAGTTATATGTTGTAACCCTAGGCAAATGCAAATTCAAGTGTTAATTGTTATCGTGATGTTATATATATATATATATATAGAGAGAGAGAGAGAGAGAGAGAGTTTCATCATTATTATGCTCATTTATTAATGTTATTATTAAATTATTTAATTGCATAACTGACTATTTTGAAGGATTTGACGTTGACGATAGTAGCCAGGCTAGGATTGCTTAGTTGGTGTAGGCCAGCAACCACCCTGTAAGCCATTCCGCTGAGTTGTTGGGAGGAAGTTTTTCGTAAAAAATTAGAATTTAATGAAAATTGTTTTTTTAAAACTATATACGCACAAATTATTTAAAGGATTAAACTACAAATGTTGTATATGTTCCACTATCGATAAACTTTTGTGTAATTTCATTATTTTTTAAAAATCAGGATCTGACAGACGCAGAAACTGTCACAGCATGCAAGGCACTAGTACAAAATTAAACAAATAAGAATGCAAGGCAAACAGTAATGCAAAAAAAGAGAGGGAAATTCTTTCGGCAACCTGCTAACGCAATGGGCGGCTGTCAGTGCATACTTAGCGGAGAAAAGTGAAGCGCCACACGTGTGGTACCACTTTCCGTTACTAAAAACCTGCAGCGACAGTTGCCACGGAAATTCGCCGGGCTTTGCTGCCTCGCCTCCAATGACAAATGGATCGAAATCGAAGGAGGTTTGAATTTGGCTTGGTAGGGCATGAACTGTGTATATGTTTGGATGAATTAATTTTTTTTGTTTCAAAAGAATTTTTGATTTAAATAAATAACAATTAGTTTAGATCAAATATAATTATAATGTTAAAAATTTAACGTTTTTTAGGAATAGCTAATGAAATTGTAATGTTATTACTAACGAGTAGCCAAAGCCACGAGCAAGAAGACCAGTAAGGCTTTCATGATTGTTTCTAGAGGCAACTCTGATGTCTCTGCTTTCATTGAATTCCACCAAATTACCATTCGTATTTATAAGAAAATTTAAAATAAAGTCAGAAATAAATCATAACTATCTCAAGCTATCACAAGTTGACAAATTAACAATTGCTAGATAAGATACGTAACAAATGTAAAATTATCTCGCTATGTTTTTGAGAACTTTATCTACGAGAAGAATAGTTTTCTCCAAGATTTTATCATGTTTCAAATAAAAAATCTTCAATTAAAATTGTAATTCATAATTATTAGTGATAAAGTTTATCTGATATTGGAAGCACTTGAGCAGAAAACAATTGTAACTTTGATAAAACTCAACGAGCTTGTGATTTAATTTCCACAAACAAGTTTGGGTTTTGTTTTTAAAGAAAATAGAAGCCATTGTATAATATTGAATGTTTCTCTCTCTCTCTCTCTCTCTCTCTCTCTCTCTCTCTCTCTCTCTCTTTCTTTTTCTCTCTCGAGTGATTTATTTCTCAAAAGAGTCAGCAGGGCCTTACGGGTCAGGGTCTAATTGGAAACGGTTGGTGGAAACATGTTTTATGTAATAATTGGAAAGCCCTGCATACAATCATGATCCTATATGGGGAGAAAACGGTCACCAACTTTTTTTTCACGAACAAGCGAGTTTTATTAGTTTCCAAAAAAATTCAATACTTATACAACTCAAACTGCTTGATTCTTAGGTTCTTTGTTTTTATTTTATCATAATTTGCCATTAAGTCAAGCTATTGTGTATTATTTTAGATGAAAATAAACATAACTTTCCTTTCAAACAACATCCATTTTTTAGTTTGAATTTGAAAAAACAGTTTTGAAGACAATATTTTAGATATTTTTTCATTGGAATTCAATTCACAATGAATCAATTTCGAAACTACATTCAACAAGATATACAAGATACAAGCAGACCGTACAGAGTTTATATCTGGTGTTATAAATTTACTATGTAGCAAAGTTCCGACACATATATTTTATAAAATTCCATTCTTCGAATTAAATTTCAAAACAGATGTTAATCGGTAAAGATTAAATCAAAACATAACACATATCATTGATTAACATTTATATAATTATTAATAATATCCGAAAGCAAAACCTCATATAAAATTATTGCAAGGCAGAAACCTTTTTTCGACAACTCAATTGTAAAAAATTACGATATTGCGTTGGTAATACAATTTTCATTTCTCTTTTTTTCTCACTCTATCTCTCTCACTCTCGCCCACACACACACACACACGCACACAAACACACACACTAAGGAGTATTCATCTTTATCCAGTCTAAAAATCCACTGATCCTAGTATAGACGGATGGATGGCTTGACAGACATTTTCCACCAGAAGACAACACAAACGACATCAAACCAACTACAACCGCATCTTTTCCAGGTGATAGCTTGCAGGCAGCCGGTCCGCCACTATCGCCCTTTTAGTTATAATGTAACACAAATATTTTACATTTTTCATAAGTGTAATAATAATAATTAATATTAATATTTTTATTATTATATAGAAGTAGTGAAAGCAATAGTATTTGTAGAAGTAGTAATAAGAATAAAGGTAGCAGCAGTAGAAGTAGTAGCAGCAGCAGCAGCAGCAGTAGTACTATAATTGTAATACCTCGAGTATAACAAGCAAAACCCAACTAACATTGCATGCTGAAACATTAAGACTCTGATCGAAGAGGCATATATGGCTGTCAATTATATCAGCTGGGGGCATTCTATTCTGACAGTCAACGTTCGAAACCACGCCCATAGTTCCTTTTTGCAGCACGTCTGCCCTGCTTATAGAACCGTCTGAATAATTTATGTTAATTAGGTAAAAATGGGTATGTATTATGTTAATTAATGTTATAATATTGAATATATGTTGTACTATGTTGTTTAGTAATGTAAAAAGTTATCCAGAGGTTTAAGTGACATAGTCGAGGATCTCTATGCGTTCAAATCCAGTCACTGCAACACCAGAGCCAGGCTTCTTAACCATTACACTATCCATTATTGAAATAATTAAACTTAGTTAAAAATATTAATACGAACTATTTCTTCCCCAGCCACTAATGAAGCACGACTCGTTGACAAATTTATTTTTATCGTCGGCAGGTAGAGTAGCCGGTTTGATCCTATCAGTGAACTTGATGTCAGACGCAAATGTCAGGATTGCAATGTCGTTGCTGTACGTTCCAGTTTGGTTTTTGTACCTCTCATGCTAGATGTGAAAATGTTCGTTAGAGATCTAAGTCGTTGTCAACATTGTATGTCTGTGGTGATGTTGGTGGCTAAGTTGTCCTAGTGATCAGTCTGTGGTGTGATGGTCAGTTTGTCTTGGTGGTCAATTTGGTTTGGTGGTCAGTTACGTTGTTACCAGATTTGAACACAAAGACAACCCTTAAACTTTAATGTTCATGTTCACACGTGCATCTATCAGTACTTTAAAATTAGCAGTGAACGTTTTATTAAAAACTTACATGCGGATAACCTCTTTTAAAAATGGGATATTGAAATGGATTTTAACATAATTGAAAGACATTACATTAAAACAAACCAATTTCTTAACAGATTGAATATAAAAAGAAATACAATAGGACCAACAATTTTGATTGACTTGACTTGAACGACTGTGGCACCGGTCATGTTACTCAACTTATGCAAGCCTGCTACTACCCGGAACGAGTTATTTGTTCTGAATTGAGAAGGACAATCACAAAAAATAATCATAATAGTATAATTAAAAATGATTATAAATAATAGCAATAATATTATTTCTTAGGCTTAACGGAGTTTAATTTACAGAATGTAAAAAAAAGTTGAAGACAGGGGCCTAGGAGGTGACGAGAAAGTTGTACCCCTTGTACCCCTTAATTATTTTTTGCCTTTTTCACATTTTATTTACAAATTATTTCAATAAAAATCAATTGTAGGACGAATATTTTTGAAATTTCATTGTAGAAACTTATTTTAAGCCTCACGAATTTGGCCCTAATTATAATTAATTATAATACAATTAATTATAATATAATTAATTATAATATAATTAATTATAATACAATTAATTATAATATAATTAATTAAAATATAATTATTAACAAAAACAACAACCCCGACCTTCCATTGAGACAGTGGGCAGCGGTGAGACCGTACTTGGAGGTGAGAATGGACGCCCCGCAAGTGTGACTCCACTTGCCCAGAATGTTTAAATTTTGAAGGGAAAGTTGCCAGGGAAATTCATGGGGCTTCGCTTCTGTGCCCCCGACAACGAAATGGTCAAGTTCGAATGATGGTTCGGCGTTCACTGGGGTTTTATATTTGACGTGATGGAGTGTCTTATTGAAAATTCTACTGTTTGTTAAGAGGTTTTTTTTTCTTTAATGTTTGAAAAATATTTTGTTAAGTTTGTAAAAAAATATTTTTTAATTTTTTCATACTCATAAACAAATGACCAAACTCACAAGACGTCAGTGTAGCTACCACAACGACGATCAAACGTTGCATGCTATTTATTAACTTTATACTTTTAAATTTTAAATGTTATTATGAAATTATGAATGATTTCAATCAATAATTATTCTCATTTTGACTCAACAAAACACTTATTTAAAACTAGCTTAACGTTCTACAGTGCATACTACGATTTAATAATCGAAATTTTATATACAAATACATAAAATTAACATGTACTTTGTCATAATCGTCTTATCAAATGTATATTTCAACTTTCATATCATGAAAGTTCAATAACTTTATCATTATAACCGAATGGTTTTATCACTTTAGTGTACTATCGTTCGTTTAATTCTGGCTTAGCACTGTTATAATTTCATTTCATTCTTTCAAATTATTCTCCGCCATATCGGCTCATTGTTTTCATTCTGAATCTACATCCTTTTAAACTATTGTTCTATTGTTATGTGATTTCATCAAGAAAACTAACTACCAGAAGCTATCCAAGCTATGCCGGTAGGAATGAACTTTCACCAACACGCATGTCAATTCTAGCCAACATTTTGACAAAATTTCAAACTTTTGATAAAACCTTTGATGGAATGGGTGTTAAACTAGCTTTTAAAAAAAAATTTTCATAAAACTGTGAGACAGGCGTTATAAATTATTATTTTGTTATACAAAACTTCCACCCCCAGCCTCCTAGCAAATCAAAGTCGTCTGGCCATTCCCCTTTCTGGATTTTGAGATACAAACCTTCGGAAAATTTAAACTAAAGTACTCAAGAATTATTATTATGGTCAAGGTTTTCACAAAAAATTTATTAAACTTTCAAAAGTAAAATAGCATCAAAGTATGTTACAAGAAATGTTTCTGAAATTTAAAAGGAAAAATTTAATATACAAATATTTATGTGTGTGTGTGTGTGTTTGCGTGTGTATAAATAAGTAAATAATATCCATATTATCTCAATAAAATAATCTAAGTATTATTTATTGATCGGTGTTAAACAGAGAAAGAGAGAGAAAAAGAGAGAGAGAGAGAGAGAAAGAGAGAGAGAGAGAGAGAGAGAAATAGAGAGAAAAGTTAATAACAAACTAATTAGTTGTTAATTATTTATTTAAATAAATAATGAAATTAAAACAAAAATATTGGCAATCTAAAATGAATGATCGGAAAAAAAAGAAAGTTGTCCAAAAAGTTGAAAATAAATGTTAATAATTGTGTACAATATAAGAAGTGCGTGTATTATTAGTTATAATTAAACAATTAATATATATATATATATTATATTATATTATATATATATGTGTGTGTGTGTGTGAGTATGTGTTATCACAAATTGTCACAAAAAGCGCTTGTTAAAAGTTTAACATTTAAATTTATATAAAAGAGTTAAGTACGTTGATGAGTGATTTTATTATTGTATGTATTACAGCAGTATACATGGCAGGCAGTCTTTGTGTAGCCAAGATTGAGATACTATGATGAATGAAAGATCGATTGATTGTGCATTCATTCATCTATCTATTCATTCGATCGCTTTGTATTCATTCATTCATTTTTTCAATCATTCATATATTCATTCATTCATATATTTATCCATTGGATCAGTTACAGTCAGCCATTTAGACACTCATTCATTTATTGAGTCAGTTGGCCAGTCAGTCTATATAATTCAATCATTCATTCATCCATTCATTCATCCATCCATCCATGCATTCATTCAATTAGGCGATCAGTCAATTATTAACGATTAAAAGAATGAACGAGCATTGTTTAAAAATTATTGTTAAACCACTTATATACTATTAATATCTTAATTATGGAGCGTGCCAAGCTGAAAGATTAGATAAAATTTCAGTCATTCGTTCATTCGTTCGTTCATTCATTCATTCATTCATTCATTCATTCATTCATTCATTCATTCGTTCATTCATTCATTCGATCACTATTCGTTCATACATTCACTCACGCACCAGCCAATAAGACAACTAAGTATTATTATTAGATTCAATAGCAAAACTTCAAAACTAGATTAAATAAGCCTAACTATGTAAGAAAATAAATCAATATATATGTATGTAATACATACATACATACAAACAGACAAACAAACAAACATACATACAAATGCACATACATACATACAAACAAACAAACTTCACTAGTGTACTACACTACCATAATTAGCAATATCACCTGAATTGATCGCCGGCTGGATGTAGGTGTGTAAATTAAAATTACGCCATAATATAAATATAATATTTCATAACTTATAATAAATAATATATATGTATACATATATGTATGTATGTATGTGTGTATGTATGAATGTATGTGTGTATGTATGTATGTATGTATGTATGTATGTATGTATGTATGTATGTATGTATGTATGTATGTATGTATGTATGTATGTATGTATGTATGTATGTATGTATGTCTGTCTGTATGTGAAGTGTGAGATTACTGAAAACCATGAAAATGTTGTAAGCAAGTTCAAGAGCGGAGTATGCACGATGTAAAAATTTAAAAAAAAATACATTTAAAAAAATTATGTCCAAAAATAGAAAGTTTAAAATTAGACATTCTAAAAATAGATAGAAACTCCAACAACAACAACAACAATAATAATAATACCAGATATACTAAAAATAGAAAATTCTAAATATAGCTCAACAGGCATCCAAATACTCAAACACCGAATTAAAAAGCTGAATAAATTGAAAAAATTTTAAGCAAAACAATATCGCAAAATCAGATCATTCGATATTAAATAATAATTATCATAATAATAATTATTATTAATATTAATTATCTATATTATTATGATAATTATTCCTATTACTTTTAATATTATGAAAATGTTTGGAAATTTGAAATGCTGAAACAATTGCAAATATTGGAAATACCTCCAACATTGAAAATACCCAAAAACCAATATATATACTATATATATATATACACATATATATATATATATATACATGTATATATATACATATATATATATACAAACAAATTTATATATATTTCTTAACAGATTCACCTTCCACAGAATCACCATCATCACCACCATTAGCTCTATAACTTTTGTGCTGTTTACCAGAAGACTTATTTATATTATAACTTTTTTCATTATCATCATCGTCGTCGACTTCATCATCATCGTCGTCGTCGTCATCATCATCAGCATCATCATTATCATCATCAGCAGCAGCAGCAGCAGCAGCAGCAGCAGCAGCAGTAGTAACAGCATCCTTATCATCATCATGACACACAGCTACTTTGTTATAAGATCCAGATGACGACGACGAAGACGAAAGCGGTGTCGTCGTCATCATATTCTTCTTCTTCTTCATCATCAACAACTTCATCATCTTCTTCGTCATCTTCACATCCCGAATGGCCCCCATGTTTAGTTTTTGTAGTCCGGATTTCGGTATGAAAAACCTCCGCATGGTGTCCCTAAGTCCCGGCGAGGATAACTTATTCAGGGATTTTTTCGATAGGCAGAAGGATTCAAAGTATTCTGGAAGGTGAAATAAATGGAAGGATTAACGGATCGATTGATTAACTGAACAATTTCTCACACGCACACACACACACACACACGCACACACACGCACACACGCACAGAGTAAACCAACCGTATGTTATTGTATCGCCATTTTCAAATAGTAGATCACAAAGTTGTTGGATTTCTAAATCGCTGCACTGAAACAAGGTTACGAGGACCTCTTTAAATTCATTCTTCGCCAGGTATCTCTCGCCTCTATCATCGTACAGCTGTGTGGTTCGTTGGTTGGTAGGGTGGTTGAATGATTGGCTGGTTAGTTGATTTGTTGATTGATTGATCGGTTGGTTGGTTAGTTAGCTGATTGGTTGATAGATTGACTAATTGATTGATTGATTGATTGATTGATGATTGATTAATTGATTTGTTGCTAGATCTGTCAATAAAATAAGTTGATGAATGATTATTATCAAATCAAAACACCACAGAAATGAATAAATCTATCTTTCAATCAATCTATCCATCAATCTATCCATCAATCTATCTGTTTATCCATCTATCCATTTATTTATCAATCTGTCAATCAATCAGTCTATCAATCAATCAACAAATTAAATTTTCATTCACTCAACTGACTAACCCTAAAAGCCAGTTTAACAAGTCTGTCGGTTTCTTGTGGCTGTGAGCATAAACAGAACAACAACATGAATTCTCTCAGATCTAATTTCAACTGTCCCTATAAAAAGTTTCACAAACAAACAAACAAGCACTCAACCAACCAACCGACCAACCAACGAGCCAGCCAGCCAGCCAACCAACCAACCAACCAACCAACCAGCCAACCAGCCAACCAGCCAACCAACCAGCCAGCCAACCAACCGACCAGCCAACCAATCATCCAATAAACTGACATCACGTTGTTTAGCCAGCACAGTGAAGAGAGCATCGGAGTTGCTCTGCAGACAGCCGGCCTCTTCTCCGCCGGTCATCAGCGTCAGTGAGTCAGTGTTGATCGGCATGTTGGCCAGCTGTGAGTTACGTGGGATTCTGAAGAGGTTAATTTGCAGTTTGCTACCTCCAGGATAAAGAATGGAAACCGACTCTTCAGGTGTCGGGGCCTCGCTTGGTGTCTTCTCAGTCACCGTTATAATCTTACTAGACGATTTCAATTGTGTTACTGATTTAGATTTGACGCCTTGAGCAACAACAGCAGCATCAGAAGTAGCGCTGTTGGCGGTTGAAGTCGAGTCGTCTTTAAGTGACGAATCACTTTCGTTCTCGTAGATGTTGATGTATTTGTTGGTGAAGCTGGCAGCCTGGCCGAGGTTGTCGACAAATCTCATGTAGAGCTTGAACTGCCTCTGGTTCATTCTCACCGGAGAGATGTACTCGCTCAGGTTTGTTATCATCATTACCTCCTCAATGAACGGTTGAATGCTTTTGCTTAAGTGTGTGTGTGTGTGTGTTTGTTTGCCTGTGTGTGTCTCGGTGTGTGTTTGTGTCTTGTTTGATGTGTGTGTCTGTTTGTGTGTGTGTGTGTGTGTGTGTGTGTGTGAGTAAGTGTGTGTTATTTTCCATTTGCGCGTGTGTAAAATAACAAGCGATAAATTCAAAAATACAAACAGAGGAAAAAAATTGTAGCCAAGATACTAAGGACAACAATTAAAAAAATATTAAAAGATCAACAACAACAACAACAACAACAACAACAACAACAACAACAACAACAACAACAACAACAACAACAACAACAGTAATAACAACTCCAAAACCCTAACCAAGAATTCATTTTCATGTAAAGTCTGTTTAGAGAGGTGACTTGTGGCCTAGGCTGGAGGTTCAACTTCGATAGGTAGACAACGAAGTTGCAGTCGAAGAAGTTAAAATCAACAATGGGAACTTTTAGGCTTCTGTATGGTTTATTGATTGATCACGTGATTGGCTGATTGATTGATTGATTGATTAATTGATCACCTGATCGGTCGATTGACGCAATTGGTTGGTTGATTGGTTGGTTGGTTGACTATTGATTGAATGATTGATAAAATGAATGAATGATTGATAAAATGAATGAATGGATGAATGAATGAATGAACAAATGAATAAATGAATGAACGAACGGACGAATGATTGAATGAATGAATGAATAAATGAATGAATGAAAAATTGACATACCTTGCAATGATATCTCTAACACTGGAGGCGTAGAGTTTCGGGTTCGACTTCTCAGCTTCGGATGGCCAGTACAACGGAAATATCTGTCAAAAAATAATAATAACAATAATAATAATAAATAATAATAATAATAATAATGACCTAACCGTCATGGTGCAGCTGGTATGGAGCTGGCACATAGTCAACCATAATACCTTCCATCTGTAAAAAAAATCCATTTAAGGTAGGAATAATAATAATAATAATAAGAAGAAGAAGAAGAAAAAGGAGAAGAAGAACAACAACAAAAACAAAAAGAACAAGAAGAAGAACAAGAAGAAGAACAAGAAGAAGAACAAGAAGAAAAAAAGACGAAGAAGAAAAAGAAGAAGACGAAGAATGAGAAGTATAATAGGATAAATAATAATAATAATAACAACAACAATAATAATAATAATAAACGTACACTCCAGGTCCAACCCATGTCCAAACAGTGCTGTCCTATTAGGGAAAAAAAAATTCACCGACATCACAATCATTAACACAATCATCGTCATCATCATCATCGTCATCATCGTTACAATCATCATCATCATTGTCACCACCATCATCACCACCATCATCGTCATCATCATCTAACCGCCTGGTTGTGGTGTCGAATGCTAATAGGCAAAACCGGTAAGCCTGGTATAAAAGCTCCTGATTGTAGTTGTGGTGAGTGATGATGATGATGATGATGATGGAGATGATGATGATGACAAAGATGAAAAGATGATGATGATGATGATGATAACGATGATGGTCGATAGAACCATGGCAATCAAGACGATTTTTAAAATAATCAGCCAGTCAACCAGCTAGCCAATCAACCAGCCAGCCAGCCAACCAACCAATCAACAAACTAACCAACTAACCAGCCAATCAACCAGCCATTCAACCCAGCCAGCCAACCAATCAGCCAACCCGGTTTGAAACTGATCAGGCATTTCCCGTTAGTGGCAGTGCCCTCTGGGAAAGCCATCGTAACTGGCCAGTTGACAGGAATGACGTCATCCTGAATCTCAAGGTCACCTGACAGTAATAATAATAATAATAATAATAATAATAATAATAATATAAGAAAAAGAAGACGAAGAAGAAAAAGTAGAAGATGAAGAAGATAAAGAAGATAAATATTCATTCTGTTACATTTTAAAATTAGCTCTCATGACTTAATTAGCTTGTAGTAAAGCACTGAACTAAAAAAAAAACTAACTCGGTTTAAAAGTTTGCTCTAAAACACTCCTACCATAAACTATACTAACTAATTTCAACATGATACAATTTGAATCAATCCATCTTTATAAATTTTTGTAGATGCTTTTATATAAGAATCATTTGCACGAAAACATATAGGTTTGAAGATGTGTACCATGCAAACATGTACAGCATTTAACTATATTTTAAAAGACAAATTTCACAACCATAGTGTTTGGTCTTAATGTCTGTCTGGTAATTTGAGATATAATCAAGATAGTCACATCAGTCAGATGGTCCAGGCAATACAACCATCATAATTCTTCTTCCTCTTCGAATCAATTTGCATGCAGACAAACACATTCATTCATTAATACACACACTCACACACACAAACACACACACACACACACACACACACACACACATGCACGCATACACAAACGTACATAATTATTCATCATTATTATTAATAATAACAATAAAAGCTATTAATATTTTGAATATTAATGGAAATAATACAATAAAAGCGACGCTGAGAGTCATGTAGTAACGAGAGATAAACGAAAATAGCAGGACAGACAGACATGCGTGAAGATGGCAAACAAAGAGATCTCTAATACAAATTTGATCTGTGTGTCGTCAGAATAAAATGCAAATTAAATAAAATAATTTTAAAATCCAGTGATAATATGCAAAAATAATAATAACAACAATAATAAACAAATACAAAAGCCAGAAAAAAAAACAAATTTTCAATTCACGACAACACCTTTAGACAAATTTCGAAGTTTCATCCTTGCCAGAACTCTCTGCCTAATTTCATTGATGGTATTTAAACGCGATTCAGGGTCAGTTCGAGCTACTGTGATTGGTGTGAAAAATCTACAGATCCCTGCAATGTGATTGGTCAATTTGAAATTAAAGCATTATGATTGGTCAATTTAAAGTTAAAGCATTTTGATTGGTCAACTTGAAATAGTGATGTGACTGGTGCAAAAATCTATCCTACATGCAATGGAATTTGTCACTTTAAAACTTAAGTGTTTTGATTTAAATAAAAATGAAATGAAAAAAATTGGACCATTTAAATAAAATTGATATCATTGGTTAAATTAAATGAAATTTTTTTAATTTAAATCAAAATTACGTGATTGGTTGATTAAAATAAATACCAAGAAAAAAAAAACTAAAAAAACTACAAACTTCCAATGAAGGGAATATATAAGTTCTCCATCCTACTGACACCTGAGGCCAATTCAGGGATTGAAAATATAAGTACCACATCCAGAAATGAGGTGTGAGGAGCGGCCACAATGATGTCAGGAATGTTGTCAACGTCGATGTTTCTACGGCCTTTGACCTTTATGTAGTGGTAACCCAGGCTGAAGAACCCTGCCCTCACCAGAAATCGAACCAGAGGGCTCATAGATCTAGATTTTGGTTTAGAATGTAGGAAAATTCGCTCAAAAATGTCTACAAATTTGATGCTAAAGTTATAAAGTTAGATCAATTTTCAATAGAACAGTTTGACTGATCAAATTTCAATTGTATCAAAATGATGTGATTGGTTTATTATTTTGATGTTGGATCATTATCGAAGTGATGTGATTAGCTGATAAAAATAACAACTGCAACAATAATAATAACAATAACAATCCTTACCTCCTCCAGCCTTTAAGTGGAGCCGAAGAAACTTTTGGAAGGCCAGTAGTAGCGATGGTAGTAACTAGGCACAACATGGTGGTTATTAGGATGAGAAAGAATGCTCGAATGGGAAATATTGTAACTGTCATTAGAGCTATCTGTGAACACAAATAACAAGAATAAACACAACAACAATAATAATAAGAAAAAATAATTTACCTGTATTTTCTGGGCCCATGAAATTCTCAGTCGATGTTCAAATGGATTTAAAATTGCTGGCTCCTCAACTGCATACATTCTTGTGGTTCTTGATTTTTTCAAATATCAAATATTCTCCCCACAAAAAAATTAATTTATTTAGTTTTTTTTCTTATTTTAAATCAACCTTACTTGTAGATTAAAAATTGTAAATTAATAATAATGTAACAATTAACTACAATTAAAATCACTAAACTAAATACATCAGAAATCTCAAATGATTTCTCTCTACTCTATATATAACAAATTAGAAGGTAGAATCTAACTCTTGGGTTTTTTCGGATCACATATCTGAAAGATTAGCCAAAAAAAGACTCAAGACACAGAGTTGTATGATTTATTATTTTATTTCCTTATTTTATTATAAATAACTTTCTTTATTTATAAATATCAAACACACTAACAAGTATAATATATTTATTCAGCATATATCCTAATAACCTAACTACTATCAACAAATAAATATATCTTATATATATATAATATAAAAATATTATTATTAAAAATATATAAATAATTACCTAATGTAGCCACAATGTATTTAGTAAATATAAATAAACAGATCACCTTTACTTTTAAAAAAGTACTTATGGAAGGTTAATGTAGTTTTTAGATGTTGCATATGTTGTTTTAAAAAAATGATTTAAACTTATAAATGAAAAATTTAAGAGAAATTTATGATTTATAAACGTAAGATTATTATTATTATATATGATTTAAATGTCTTGAATGAAGGTTTTAGATAAGTAAAAACCTGTAATTAATAATTCAAAATGTGTGCTAGTAGCCTTAGAAACAAAATTTCCAGATACCTCTTTAATGATTTTATATAGCAGAAAGATGAATTGACAACCGTTGAATACTAATAAAATTTTAGGAAATTTTTTTTTCAATCATGATCAATCAAACACAATTTTTTCTGGATTCGCAACAGAATCCTCATCGAAAACTACAGCCGCAGCAACCACAACAATCGCAACAACCACAACAACTACAACCACAAATACTACAACAACCACAACAACTTCAACAACCACAGCAATTTCAACAAAGGCCACAACAATCCCAACAACCATCTTCTCAACAGTTAATGCAAACACAACAAAATTATGGCCAAACAACAAACCAACCACTACTTGATCACTCGCTACAGCCACAACCTTTGCAACTGCAACAACCTCAGCAACAAAATCTGCAACAACTTCAGCAACAAAATCCGCAACAACTTCAGCAACAAAATCCGCAACAACATATTCAGCAGCAGCAGCAACTCCCAAATAATTTTCAACCTCTCAACCAGAGTTTGAACCTACCAGCCCAGCAACAACTGCCGCAACTCAACACAACGCCACAAGTACAAAGCTCGCTACAACAACCACCTCCTCACCAACAACAGCAACTTCAAATTACACCCTACCAGCAACAAAACCAACTGCAACTTATTCCGCAACAACCCCAAATTTCTCAACAGTTACCTCAACAGACTCGTCAAATAATTCCAACGCAACAACTTCAGCTGCAACCAAGTATACCGATACCTCAACAACAACATCAACAGCAACAAAAATTACAACAACAACAACAATTACTAAAACAACAATTACAACAACAGCAGCAACAACAACAACAACAGAATCAGCAACAACAACAGAATCAACATCAACAACTAAACCAACAATTTCACTCTCAGCAATTAATTCGACAGCCGGTTCCGAATGATCAATCGCAAATAACATCATCAACATTTCAAAACAATAACTCAATTAACAACTTGCAGCAACAACAACATTTTCAACAATTACAACAACAACAGCAGTTGCAGCAACAACTTCAGCAGCAACTTCCACAACAGCAACAACTGAATCAGTTGCACCAACAACAACAACAACAATTTCCTCAAAAAACACAGTTTCAGCAGCAGCAGCAGCATCAACAACAACAGTCACAGCAACAACTGTTGCAGCAACCACAACAACAACAACAACAATTACAGCAGCAACAACATCAACAACATTTAACAAAACTTATCAAAGAAGCAAACGAGAAATTAATGCGAACGGCATCAGAGATCCAATCCAATTTCGACCGCCATGCTTCCTTTTTGGAAAAATTGCAAGAAAAACTGGCAAACACCGAAGTTCCAGAACCCTCGAAACCGAAAGTGGAGTCGGTAAAAGCAGATCCGAAACTCGGTGTCGGTAGAAAACAACCGGATCCCATGGACGAGAATGGTCAGCTGATAGAAGTTAAGAGGAAGAAAAAGGTGATGATGACGACCATGATGATTGTAATAGTAACGATGACGATGGTGGTAGTAATGATGATCATAAGATTGATGATGATAATGATAATGAGGATGATGATGATGGTGACGATGACGACGATGATGATGATGATGATGAGGATAATGATGTGTATGATGATGATAATGATAGAGATGGTGATGATGATAATGACGACGACGATGATGACGTAAGCGATGAAACCACCGGACAAAATAAAACGCTTCTAAAGAAAATGAGGATGTAGAATAGAAATGACAACCACTTTGACATAATTTATGTTAATATAGATACGTATGGGTAACATGACATAATATGATACACATATGATATATCTGTTGATGTTTTTGTTGTTGCTGTTGTTTATGTTTGAATGATGTTTTCAAGTAACAATTTCGAAGTTGATACGTTGTTGTTATTGTTATTGATCCTTTCGCGATATCATACCATATATCATATACTAGTATCATTAGTAGATTATTATAAGTGGTATCAAGTGTAGTATCATATCTTACTTACGCACATAATTAAAAACCATCATTAAATACATTAGTGATAGTACCATAAGTAGTATCATGTGTAGTATCATACCTTACTTACGCACATAACTAACAACTATCACTAAATACGTCAGTGATAGTACCATAAGTGGTATCATGTGTAGTATCATGCCTTACAACCAACGTTAAATGTATCAATGGCGATTGTTGGGATCGTCATTTGAAAAATGGAGAATTTTTTTCACATTTTTCGTCTTAGATTTTCATTTTTAGATTTTCGTCATCATCATCTTCGTCATCATCATCTTCGTCATCATCTTCATCATCTTCGTCATCATCTTCATCATCTTCGTCATCATCTTCATCGTCATCATCATCTTCTTCGTCATCATCGTCGTCCCCACAGACGACAATAGAATGCAAAGTCAACTTTCAGAAAATAGGCGAGATAGACACGCTGCACGATCGTTTCAACGCTGACGTCATTGTCCAGGCAAAATGGCGGGAACCTGAGTTAGATGGAGAAGTAGATCTGGTTGGTCTACGTTGTATGTATGTTTGTTTGTATGTTTGTGTGTAGGTATGTTCGTATACATTGTATGTATGTATGTATGTATGTATGTATGTATGTATGTATGTATGTATGTATGTATGTATGTATGTATGTATGTATGTATGTATGTATGT